CTCCAATTTCGTTCGTTTTTCTCATTTTTTGAGGTGATTCGCTTAGCAGCTTACCGATATTTTCTTGTTTTTCACTGCCTTCATTCCCCTGATTGCCTCCTCTTCCAAGCTTTTCAGTTCCTTTTCGAGATCGTCATCGGAAATAGTGTCATACTCGAATTCCATACTATGTCCTAGCTCTTTTTCAGTCTGAAAAGGTGACTTATTATTTGACCTCGGCTTCAGTTTTGGTTTTCGAATTTCGTTCCTGCAAAGTAGAAGCGAGATTCTGACACTCCCCACAGACCTATCGCCTTGCGTGAAGCAAGGGAGGGCGTACAGTTGATGTCTTTGCGCTAAGTGGGGGCGGTTTCCAGAGAGATGAAATGCGGTGTTTCCAATCTTGGTCCAGAAAAAATCCAATTTCAATCGCGGTGTTTCCAAAACCAGTTGTTTTTTCATTATCGATCACTAACCGATCACCATCGTTAAAAAAAGACAGCCGGAGACGGGCCCAACGCTCTTCGTGACACCGACTGTTGTGAATTTGTCAACTACAGGTACAGTGTTGTTCACTATGTATGTATGCTAGGGCGTATCAGAGGCTGGGTTTGACGCAGGGCCAATCCCAGCCTCTGATAGGTAGGTCGATTGTTGAAGTGGATAATCGACAACAATTGAAGGGAAACGGGCTGGCGCTGAGTTATGACTAGCCCGCCTGACACCAGCATCCACAGCGATCAAGTCTATAACTACGGTCATGCAGGCATACATTGATGTCGCAGCAATCCAGCTGTGTGGCAGGAGATGTGGTATAAGTACGCACGCGGGTTTTCCACCACTGGCTGTTTTCTGTTTGAACCGGCCGATATTGGTGGGAAACGCAGCCGCTGATGGGCTCATTCTACGACTACTAACACCACCCCTTCCCATCTTGCGACTATATCCACCATTAAGAGATTGCCTGTCGGAGCATCTCAACGGATCGCTCCTCTATTTTGAAATTTAAATACAATGGTTCTTTTCTGAGACCTGTCCCTCACTAGTTCTTTTCCAATACCTGTTCCTCAGGACTCACCTGTTTCTTCATCAGTGATAGCCTCTCTTCTCTCAAGGCTTTTTGCTTCTTGATCACCTGGAAATATAACCTTCTACTAACTTACTATGCCAGAGAGACTTTTACAAAGTCTTTACCGCATTGTTAGCCTGGTCAAGATCCTTCCGTATTGTATCGTTGATCACTTTGTCGAACCACTGAATGAGTCGCGCGCGACTTTCTGCTGCGTCTCTTGATAAAACCTTTCAGAGCCTGGAGAAAGAAAAGATACTGAATTCTGTAGTATCTTGCCCTTTATCGTTAGTCTCTCTTTCGCGCGCTCATTGTTCTCCTTCGCTTCCGTTTACACTGCAAAACGTGGATGGCCCATGCTGCCCACGTTTCACTATCACCAAATATCTGTCAGTAATGGTTCCACCTGCGCTTTTTAATCTTTTATTCAGAAGTTAGCTCTCTAGTATTGTCCCGACGGCAGAACTAGTGGGTAGGCTATAGTTGTGAAATGTTGTGTTCACCTTTTTCACTATTGCGTCATCCTGAACATTTTTGAAGGCTTTTGTAGCTGTATCCTCCATCAGTAGGATCTCTTCCTCCGTGGCGTATGGAAATTCAACCTGAAATGTTTGGCTGTTTTCAACTGCCGTTCCTGGGTGCACTTCGGCTTGGTGGGGCCATTTTGCTGGTTGAAAATCTGCGAACTTTTCTAAGAAATACAGTAAGCTGAGGCTCGTCTACTGCAGTTCAACAGGTTGCACCAAATTGAGACTTGTACTTCAAGAAGAACTAGCAATAGAAACTAGTGAAGGGACAAGATGCCCTCCCGCAAGCTGAGCACTGCCCCGTCTCCGCTCTTTTTCTGATGTTCCAGTACAGACCTTATTAAGGTACATCCGACAGGATTGAACATTTTGGGCAGCAGCGATGAAGTTGTTCCGAGCTTCAGCAGCTGCGAAGTAACGCGCTCGGGTGTTACTGGAACAAATCAAAGTAAATATGTAATGTTTCCTAAGATTTCACTAACATTCTCAGAATTACTGATAATGAATTCCCTTTGAGAATGCCGACCTTTCCTCGATTTTCTTGATATCTTGCCAACGATTGATTCCGAAAGTGATTTGAGTGAGTGCATGTACGAGCAGAACGCGTCCGTTAGCCCACTTGAACATTGCTAATGCCACTCGTTGCTGCCAATCCATCATCTCGTCCACCTAAAAAGAAGGCTTAAAAGTAAATCTCAAAATGAAGTTTCCGTCGTTGCTCAATCCTTTTTGAGATGCAGCACGCATTCTGATTTCATTCAGATTTATAGTAGCTAACTTGAATGAGGTATGGCCTTTCGGCTGCTGGAGGGAGGGGAGGGATGGGGGAATCGGCAGAGACTGATGGATAGTTTTTCTGGATGTTTTCAGTTGGATGGAGTTTTTCTTTTTGTGTAGAAGTAGTAGGAAGCTAGGTAGGATAAGGTGGGAGAGATCGTACTGGAAGAGGTTTGAAAGAAGGGTTGTATTTTGAATTTCCCCAACGGCAGGACGTGCCTTGTCCCTGGCCAACGGTTTGTTTCGTTATTGACCTCTCAACCTTGGTACCAGTTTACATTCCAGCACCAATTATGAATCTCCGCTCACCGCAAAGTGTGCATATAAAGAGATATTGATTGTAGGAGTATCCACATCTGGGAATATGAAAAGCACTCCAACTCAGACGACCGCAGTAAGTACCTACATGCTTGTAATCCAGAGACCTGCTCACCTCTCCTTCCAGAATATTCTCTTTCTCGGACGCGTAGTCAGTTCCAAAGATGCCAACTAAAAACTTCAGTTTTCCAATGACAATAAAAAATTAAGATTTGTGTGGTCCCAACTCACTCAACATCTTGTCCTGCTTGTCATAGAGAGCAAGTAGATTATCAGTCTGCTGTTTGTAGATATCAGTGATTTTCTGAGCCGTTTCGAATTTCACCTTCGAAAGCTCGAGTTCCTGAAAATTATCGGTACCTTTCATTAGATCTCCTTGAGCGCAGATTTCAAGGTGATCGCCGTGTCATGGGCACGGCCACTTGAATGATTGCGGTGTTGGATGATATTTTCTGGAGGGCCAACAAGGAGTCACGCAACAATGGGGGAGACAGATGGGTCAGGGCACGCCATAGCGTTGTGATCATTTCCTGAAAAATACGATCCCCTCAATTCTATCCTCAAATAGGACCCCCTCCCCATGCTACTTACCACTTT